AGACCCGTCAGCTCCAAAATGCAGAAACACGAAATGGGCGCCAGGTACGGCGGTCCGTACCCACTAACGAAGTCGAAACTCCAACACTAAGAGATGGTCTCGCCGACGAGGGCAACTCGCCCTCCGCCCGAACGGCTCGCCTGAACGTCCGACAGCTCAGCCTTGTTCTCGGTAGAGGGGCTGGTTCGCGCGAGGTCGGAAGGGTTAGAGCGGGTGGCGGTTAGTGAGATGATCAGATGAGGTTACTATACATTCGAGTTTTATTTGGCGGTAGAAGTTTACAGGCGTGTGGTATCTCGACAGTTACAATACGATGAGAAAATGTCTAAATATTCGTTCCGCTACACGGCAGCGATTCTCAATGATAAATAATACAAATATCCCTGTTCGCGGTCGCGACGCTGGTCTTCGGCAGCTCTAATTTCCCGAGTCGTGACCCCGGAGGTCACGGCAGCCACGTAGGCTTTTCGGCGGTGCGCTCGCTCGGTATCTCGCGTACGGCGGATAATCAGCAGTTAGTCGGTCGGATTATTACACCATACGCGAAGCTCCTCCTTGCGCGAGAGGAACGCGAACCCTGGCCCTCGCCCAGGGTGGACGGCCGAGCTCCAGCTCCCCGACGCCGCACCGCTCCGCGACACCAATCACTAAAAAGCTAGACTGTTCGTTCTCCTTGAAACGGATTCACCAAGACAGCGGAGCGGGGTAGTCGGCAGCAAGCAGCGGCGGTCCTCTCTGGGTTCACACAAAAATTCGTGCCCGTGCGGTAGCGGCCTTACGGATGAAGAGGTCGAGTCGTCGTCTGTCGTCGGCTCCGTGGATGGCACGTCCTTCACAATCTGTGGTCACGGCTTACGGAAAAAGCTCTTAAGCGATCGTTGGAACCTGGTTTTATCCCAGGTTCGAATCGCTTGCTCCGACAGCTATCGGCCGTTGATTGGCCGATTTGCAGGATCGAATCCCCCCTCTTCCGGCCTTTGTTTTTCGGGAACTGTTGTCGTCTTCCATTTGATCCTTTCTAGCCTGTTGGCCTCTCCGACCTTGGAGCTTCGTCATTTCGGCAGCCGTCGTTTCCTCAGTCCCCGAGCCTCGCGGCGTCTTCGCCTGGCTCGGAGGACGCTCCGGGTCGCGGAGAATGGGCTCGTCGGTCTCGCCTTGGTAGCCGCTGTCCTCCGCTCGTCCGCGGTGTCCGTCGACTCCATCCTAACGGCTCCCTTGCGGCAGCTCGGGACTGATCCACCTCGGCAGCTCTCTCTCGACGTTCTCCTTGTTAGATGTATGTCGGCTAAAACAAGCCTCCTTAGAGTGGATTCACCTGTCCGTCCTTAATTACGCATAAAAATAATAATAAGGAAGCGATTCACCTGGGATATTTGGTCCGTTCGATGCTCCTCGTCCTGATTCCTCTTCTCCCTCGGCGGCAGCAAATCCTCCCTGATGTCTTCTTCCTCCTGATCCGACTTCTCGACACCCGCACTCTTTCTTTACACACACAAAATATTCGGGCCACGCAGGCTCGCGTCCTATTTGCCTCACAGTTAGGACGCGACATCCACTTGCAGCCGGGAAGCCCGCTTGCGGCTTCCTAACGACTTTCCGAGTGACGGACGATAAAAAATCGTCACGTCACAATATATATATATATATATATATATATATATATATATATAT